TTTTTTCAACTGTTCCAGTTCCATTCTAAGTAAAGGAAATAAATATTCTCACCTTTTCAGATGTATTTAATGGCATTTGACTCTTGACACTTACAATTCCTTCAAAATAATAGTTGAGAATAATCATTAAATTGTTTCTTTGTAATTTTATTTTCCAGCTCACAGGATGAACCATAAAACAATGGTGACATCAAAAGCGACACTAAGCTAAATTGTAATTATATGTTTAAATTCAACATGGAAGCAGTGTTTCAACATTATTTACAGGTTAATTAGCAAATGAATCCACATATATGATGTCTGTAAATCAAAAGACATGGTTTAATACACCATTCATGTCTAGTATCTATCACCTGTCTGTTCTCTTCACTTCAGATGGTATGACTGAGGTATGACATCATATTTATTTACGCAAAGTATTTACGAAGAAAGTGGAACACATGGTCAGGCTCTATCTTGCATAAACCAGTTGGTGCCTGGGTGATCCTTCAGTGCTAGCGGTATGACGAAAAATTGTTCCAAAACTGCAGTATTCACATTCACGTGAGAAAAGGGCCAAAAAATGTCTACTGCCTACCGTTGCCCAATTAATAACGTTGGGTTCTCCCAATGTTTGCACAAATGAAAATTTCCACAACCCTCAAAACACCAGTTTTTTTTTTTTTTTTTTTAAATTTTTATTTACAAAAACATTCAGGTGGAAGTGTGCCTCAGTTGTGAGCCAGATGTTGCCAACGTGAAATCCTTCATCATCAATCATTGTGAGAATCTGGTTCGCAAGGTCGGCCCTTTGTCAAACAGCTCAAATTAACCAAAGGTAAATTGTATTAAAATCTTAGAAAAATGACCATTATACATTGTAGGTTGCTACAAAAGTGTTGAGTATTGGAAATTTACAAATGGATTACTATTACTATTAGCAATTTTTAATGTCACCAAGTAATATTGGCTAAAAGAGTAGCTGACAGCTTAAAGAAAAACTTTATTAAAAGAAAAATTAAAGTTCAAATGGAAAAAGTCATTAAAATATGCAAAAGCAAGGAAAAATGAAAAAGAAAAACTTGTTAAAAAAAGAGTTAACAGTCTTCACCCTTACTGGCTTAAAAAAGTGACATTTTAGAAATTAAAATGGACAATTTGTTAGTTAAAGTAAGAGTCAGAATTATAAATAGAAGAACTGAAAAATTGCAAAATGTACATATATAAATACTATGTTTTTTCCCTCACCCCCTTAGCTTCAGTTTGTCATGTTAGGTTTAAGAATAGTCTTCATAATGTGATAAAATTTTACAGGTGGTAGACATCTGTCATAAACTGTATTTTAATAAATGCCAGTGAAATTCGATAAGTTGTCCAAGTCTGTGCAAATAAAATATTTCTTTTTTGCTGCTGCTCAACTTCTGTACAAATATTTTTCATACAAACTAGTTGATTATAACTAGTATTTTCTATTACTTTGTTGGAGATTAGTTTTCCAGTAATTAGCATTATTGAAGTAAAGTTGAAATTTTTTCTCTTGTCATAAAGTCATAATTCGTAGTGATTGATAATGCAAACATGAAGATAATCCAGCCAATTGATCTGAGTTACCCTTGTTTAGTTTAGACAGGAATGGTAGATATTCGGTGAGATTAAAATCGTTGAAAGCTGTGATATTATCAATATCCAAAAGTAAAGGTAAATTTTTGCCAATCATTTATTGAAAATGAATGAAGAAATTTGTACTCTTGAAAATAAGTACATATTGCAAATGTACTATGTTGAAAATTTGTGCCTATTGGGATTCCATTTATTTGCAGATAGTATTCTGAAACTTTACATAACGATGAAAAAGCGAGAAGTTGAGATAGACTTCCCAGCTATTAGCATCTAAAGCATTAAGCATACCTGAAGCTGATTCAGGTAGGTTACTGATGATTTCTTTAAGCGGCAGTGATGTGTAAAGATTTTCATAGCAACTTTATATCAAGTATTTTGATCTTTTTAACTGCATTTGGAACAGGAACTATGTTATTAACAATCCAGCTAAAGTGGTGTTCTTCATTAGCTTTATCAAAAATAAATTTTAAATTCTTATTAAGTTTAATTGAAGAAATGTAGTTGAACATTTTCTTGTGGTTCTTGGTTCCATTAACTATATACCTGAATTTAATAGGGATCTTGTGAAACTTGGACAGTGCATATAAGTTCCAAAAGCCATTGTTCTCATAATTAAGCAATAAATGAAGTTTTTTGTGAAAAGTAGGAAACTTGTTAATAGTTGATCTTTCATTACTTTTGGAAAGTATGTTATTGGTTGAGTTCTTTTTCATTAAGAAGTTGGAAAGATTTCTTACAGATAATGCTGAAATTATTGCCTGCTTTATCTATTTTTGTGAGGCGCAGTGGCTAACGCATCACACAGCAGCACCACAGGTCTGGGGTTCGATCCCCGGGCTGGGCAAGGTCATCTCAGCCTTCCATCCCTCGATTTCCATCTCTTGGGTTGATAAAATCAGTACCAAGTTTGCTTGGGGACTAAACACTGGGGGTCCTGTGACAAGCTAACCACTTGTTCAGGGCATATGCTTATGCACCCCGGGGCCCACGGTCATGAAACCAGATTTCAGGGCACTGGTGGCCTTGGCCCACTTGTGCCACTGAGTTTAGTTTATCTTTTTTTGTAATAGTGAATTTGGCCTTAAAGTCAGAAATTTTCTTTTTTAATCTCTGGCCAATGGATTATGGCCAATCTGGTCAACCTTTAAGCTGTGATTTCTGTTAAGTGCTAGTTTGATTTTGCTCAAAAGTGCTTGCTTCCTTTCCGTAAAAGTATGAATGGGAAGATTTACTTTAGAGCTGGTATTCAAAATGAAATCTTCAGTGTTGCCTTCAATGTTTTTAATGCAAAGAGAAAAGGAACTGTGCTTGCTAGCCTAAATTTAGTTCCTTTTTTCATAAGAAAAATCATTAATAGTATCAAAATTGCCTGTAATGATGTGATTATAGTAAGAATCATAAATTGGATCTTTACAATATGAAGATGCTGCTTCATGATGTTTGATAATCCAGTTGCATAGTGTTTTAATGTATTTGAAACAGACTTGTATCTTTGACTCACTTGCACGAAAAAATGTTTGGGGTTTTTTAAAACCATGAAAATTTATTCGGACTTGAATTATGTGTTACTTAGTTTTGCTTTACCAAATTGTGGCTTACTTTTTATGTATTTTGCTTTCTTCTGTGCTCTTTTGATTGCCTAATTTAGAAGCAGTTAGAAATGACTTCATGAATTTTTTATTATTTATTTTCTGAGGTTCTTTAAATTTTAACCAGTTATTTTATGTTTGGAATCTGTACTGTCGCTTCTCTCTCTCTGTTTTTCCACCGGAATGTAAATTAGTTTGTGTGTATTTATAGTGAGGTTTTGAGATTGTTAAGACAGAGTGTGTTCTGCTTCTTGAGGCATTGTTATTAGGTTTGCCGCTTTAGATAAGAGTTACGTTATAGTTGCCGATAGTTGAAATCCATGTTGGTGAAGTCCTGAGTAAATTTGCATTAAATTGTTCTGTGGAGCTTTTGGCTGTTCATTTATTTGATTTAAGCTTTGCATTTGAGATACTGCTCTTAAGTTTCTCGCCATAAATACTAGTGGAGTTGGTAAGTGCCAGTAGTGCCTTCTGTTCATCTTATTTACTTTTAAACCAAGGGTCTTTACAGCCTTTCCAAGTTTCTATTGTACTTTAGACTTAGTAGTCAGTCACTTATCATCTACATAGAGTGTAATGTTGGATGAATGCCAAGGGAGTTAAACTTTACTATGAATGTGAGGTTCCTTTAATTTGAATAACCAGGTGTTCTGCATTTTGAAACTTTTTGGTCATTTCTCTCTTTCCGTTTTCCCACCAGAATGCAAATTAGTTCGCCCGTATCTATAGAGAGGTTTTGAAATTGTTAAGACAGAATGTGATCTGTTTCTTGAGGTCTGCTACTTTAGATAAGAGCCCCTAAAGTATTAAAGTATAAATATCTTGGCTATCATCCAAACACTATGTAGATAATGAGTGACAACAGAAACTTGGGAAGGGTGTAAAAGACCCTTTGTTTAAAGCTAAATAAGATAAACAGAAGGAATTCCTGGTACTTACAACTCTGCCAGATCTATGAAAAGAAACTTAAAAGCAGTAGATCAGATGTAAAGCTTAAATTTAATAAATGAATAGCTGAAGGCTACATTGAGTAATTTAACACAAATTTGGCTCAGAACCAGAATAGATTTCAACTATCGGCAATCATAATGCAAAGCCAAAGACAGGAACACTTATCTAAAGTAACAATCTCAAAACCTTCAGAAAGAGAGAAGTAACAATACGGATTTCAAAACATAAAATAACTGATTATTCAAGTCAATAGTTTTGCTTTGTGTATATTGTCATTTTACAGCAATGAACTATTTTTTAGAATGCTACGAAACCCACAGCTGTCTGTTGATAAAGTTTTCGGCCTTTATTTGGCAACCAGTCATTTATCCTTTAATACCTGTAGAGAGATAATTTTACTCCCTTTTTTGTCTTAATGCTAAAAAAAAAAAAAAAAAAAAAAAAACTACCTGCAAGATGAAAAATACCTTTTTAAAGTCTTCTGTAAATGTAGTTCTTTTTTCTAATGAGGAATATTCCCAGAAAGCCCTCAACAATGACACTTCTCCTAAATTAAATAGTCCTGAAGTGGTATGTTATAAATAATGTAGATTTACTGAGATTCTTCACAGAATCAGTGAAGAATTTTTTTTCTTTCAGTATGCAAATAATTCATTTGAAATGTGTTACTTTTTAGAAAATGGGTTTAAATTTTGTATATTTTTATTATTTCAGATTAAAAGATAGGCTAACTCCTAACTTTTTTCAGCTTCACATAATTGAAACTTTTCTCATTTATACTCTAGGTTTTAATTTGTATTTTGTATTCAACATTTTCTATGTTTTTGTATATGTGTCATGTGATGAAATTTTTCTTTTTAGTTGTATACTGTGACTATGCAGCCTCCGGACAACCACTGAATTTTTTTGAAGATTACATTCGAGACAAAGTCCTTCCCTTTTATGGAAATACTCATACCATAATAACAGCTACATCTCTTCAGAGCACTTATTATCGACACGAAGCAAAGTTAGTGTTTATCTGTATTTTATAAATTGTTTTAATATCCCCTTGAATAAAATTTATAAGGCCATTTGATTGAAAATTCACAATGAAGAAAAGCTTTAGAATTACTTTCTGATATTGTTTGAGTCCACCTGTAGTATGTATGCCATCTTAAACACAGTGAAGCACCACTTGAAGGTGAGTTGCTGTTGGATAATTTCCTAGAGATTTTGTTGGTCACTAGCTGGTCTGGAATGTTGCAAAAATGGTTTGCACACTTTCCATAAACATTATTCTTGTATCCTTAAATCTCATGTTTTACTTAGTAGCATCTTGGGGAAGTTCACTGAAGCTCATATCCAGAGGTCTTGATGACTGTTTGTTATCTACAACTTTAATACCATAGCATTATCAAAAGATTGGCACTCAGAGGCTGGTAGAATAAATGCAGGTCAATAAAAGGACCTAAGATTTGCTTAGTTGTTTAAATGGCTAGGAATTATTTGCTGTGCCTGTTAGGGGAAAGGGAACTTTTCAGTATTTAAAAATGTTATAACATTTAAATTAAGGTTACTGCTTCTAATCATATGTTTATACAGATCAGGAAAAGTGCATTTTAAAGTTCGTGTTGGGGGGGGAGAGCAACATCAGGATCTAGAAAAATCTTTGACATTTTAAATTTATTATTGTTTTGACTAAGCACCTCCAGCTTCTGTAAGAGGCATTACAATTTCTTTTGAATTCACTGTAGTAGAATGTTTTGCTAAAATTGGACTAAACTTTAATGAAACTGTAATCAGCAATAATCTTTTAATTTCTTATTCACTTGTGTCAATTTTTACATCAAATCTCTTCATTTTTTTATTATTTAACTGTGGAAAGTTATTTTCTCAAATATGATGTGCGTATTTAAAAAAAATCAAGAGTGTTATTTTTGAGAGGTTTGAATTAAAGTATTTTATTGACAGGAAGTACATACTTTATAAGGTAATTACGTATGTTCATGCTTATAAGTAAGTACATGTGGAAATGCTTTGGTAAAAAATCAATTTCATTATCAAAGGCATACTTTGCTGCTGTTCGTTATGCAATTGATTTTAATAGCCTGTATATTTAAAAAGTGTTTAACTGGATTTTTGCAACTTTAAAGTGAACACTTACTGAAATTTAAAAGTTGAAATTTAGATAATTAGGGGCAGAGCCATTCAGGCCATAGTTGTATGTATACATGAATGAAAGTTGAACCTCTTCTTATATATATATTAAAAAATAAAGATTATTTGTTAGAAAGTCACAGTATTTGAAGTTCTATTGGTTTTCTTATTGAATTGAGATTCGAAAAATTAAGAAAAATATTGTTTTTAAGAAATAAAGCTTTTCCCCTAATTTTGATATCTGAAATCTTATTAATGATATCCTCCAATATAATATCTTTCTTGATAAAAATTTTTAAGGGTGTTTTTTTTTTTTTTTTTTTTTTTTTTTTTTTCCTATGGTTATCATTTTGTTCTGGAGGAGTACTAAATAAATAATTTTGTGTCAGGATTGGACTGGGCTGTTTAATTACGGCAAAGCATGTTAGGGTTATCTGAATGAGAGGAAGGCTGCTTTTTTTGAGGACTTCCTGAAACTGGCTTGTATTCATGTTATCCATGGAAATATTTCCTAATTTCAGTAACAAAATGAATTTCTTTTATGGTATTCTTATGTAATGTTATATTTTCATTTTCAAAATTCAATTTTATAATAGCAGCAATAATATTCTCAACCTTAATTTAAAATTCCATTTTCAGCTGATCAGCTCTATTTTTGCTATAAACTCCTTCAATATAAATTTTACATTGATTGAATTTCTGCTGCAATCATGTATGAACATTAAATGCATTTTATTGTTTATATTTCTGTGAGCATTCATTTCTACACAAATTGAGTGTTCTGTCACAAATGATTAAAAATATATTTGATCTAAAAGCAAGTTTATACATATTACTAAACATATTGAAATTCATCCAGTTTAAGTAATGTAGATGTTTCTACTGGAGCTGCTGGTTTTTTTAATTTCATTTATGGATAGTTTATTTAATACTCTTTTAAGCTTCTTATTGCGTTGTCTTTTGATGGTCATTTATATTTGAGATAGGTGTTATGATTATTTTATTATCATAATATTCTAATATGTTCTGTGATTGATTGAGGCAGAAAGAGGGGATAAAAACCTAGATCTCTTAGATTTTATTAGAAAAAAAGAGCATTATTATCATACAACTTTCCTCTGCTACATTGGCTTGCATAGGGTTAAATTCTGCAGAAGCAGTGTGTTGAAAACTAGACAGAAAAGAAATATATGTATTACCCCCTTCTGAAGAAGAGTGACCCATGTTTGACTGCTTTTGAAATAAATTATTTTATTCAAAATCATCACAAACTTGTGGTTGCTTTTTTTTCCTCTAATTTTTATTGCATTGGTGTGTTTCTCTTGCAATTAAAGGGAGTCTGTTGTTTAATTAGATTTCGAATATTAATACAGCAACTGAATATATTTGCAATATCATCGTAATTCTACTGATTCATGATTCAGCAATTTTGAATATCAGTATTCATATTTTTATTGTAAAAGATAAACTATGATGGCTAATTAACTTGTAGGAGCTGTGATGGTTGTAGAATCTCTGCATTGTTATTTCAAGCACGATAATTTGTTTAAAACTTTTATTTTGTAAGTCCTGCTTCTTGTAAAATACATCTGCCAAATCAGTTAGGCATGTGCTGCTGGCATTAAACATAACATGCTGGGGGCGCATTATGATTTCTTTCTGTAAGGTATATTGAATTTTTTTACCATTTGCAAATTAAGAAAATAATTTTATATCTGGATGTTACATACATTGGTAAATTAAAATAGCTAATCAAAAGAATATTTTCCAACTATACTATCATTTGAAATTGAATCATCTTTGACTTCTCTCTTGCTTGCACACAAATCAAATTTGCTTTTGTCTTTATTAATTTCATAGTTTTTTAACACTTTTTGAGTAGCTGATAATCAACTGCAGCGGAACTGTGGAAAAGTGTTAGGAATTGTTTCTTCGGTGTTTTCAACTGATGAATGTGCTAGATGTCATAATGCATCTCTATGGCCCCTGCTGCTTGAATAGTAAAATTATGTACACATTTGCAATGATGTAATATGCCAGTTACTGAGTTCATATGCTCATAATAGCAGAATTAGAGGTAATAGATTTTGTTCTACAAAAACTCATTCTTAAAAATATTTCTTGTAATTATTTTTCCTTGAAAATTTAGAGACATAATTCGGAATGCGGTTAATGCTAGTGAACATGATGCTGTTGTTTTTACGGGAAGTGGATGCACAAGTGCTGTTACAAAATTAATTCATGCTTTGAATCTTCAGCTACCTGTTGTAAGTATTTTACTTGCTTTAATTTTGACTATAGCTTAACCCATTAACCGCCAAAACTACAAGGAATGTTTCTTTTCTCATGAAAATTACAACAAATATTAAATTAAGCATTTATAACATAAATTTACATTGAAAATAAAAAAAATGCTCTTACCTGTGGAAAACGTGAGTGTTGCGTTGGCGCAACATCAGCGGAATAGACTATACGGATGTTTAGTGAGTAGGATTGTCTCGTGTGATGTTTCTTTTGAGTGGAGCGCAGGATTACTTTTCAGCTGTTTTATAATAAATCTACAAATCACTTTACTTGTAATTAATTAATATTAAAATATACATTGTATTTCTTTTACAATACAGGTTATTTCCATTCAAAGATTCAAGCATGAAAGCTTGATTACAATCATGAGTAAAGCTACATTACATAAAGCATCTATAAACAGTCTGGCTATGGTACTCTTTCAGCCAAGTCTTTTGTTATCAACGAACTTTAAGATAAAAGGTCTACCTCTCCATGCAATAGTTTTGAATACTGAATACTAGGTCTTCCTGTTGCTGATCTATTTCTGGCTAATTTCTTACAACTCTCATAGGAGTGTGCAAAAGGAATAATGCATTCTCGCATCTGAAATCTAAAGAGACTTTATATTTCCGTAGTAAAAAGTGGTGATATTATTAAGTTTAGATACGGTCTCACCTCATATAATTTATCAGTACTGTCAATTTGACTATTGTCAAATGCTAATTCTGCTTCATATTCCTGTACTGCAAACGTGATATCGATTCTCGTACAACAGGAACAGAAATGTCCGTATCAAAAGACCAATACATTTTTTTTTTTTTTTTGAGGTAAAGAATGATATCCTGTAAGCGATATATTCCATCATCTTCTCATATAGCTTCGATGCAAAATTCTGTTTTTTTTTTTTTTTTTTTTTTTTTTTTTTTTTTTTTTTTTTTTTTTGTTCGCTGAGTGTATATATTTGCCTGTTCAACGAAAGAGTAAATGTGTAAACAGAATGAAATCGAAAATCTGTGCCTTACTGTTACCTATATTTTGACTTTTATCCTTTCTCTTCTCCTCTTTCTTCATGTTCTTTCTGAGACATAACTAACAGTTACTTTTTTATCCACGATTTCAGATTTCTGCTTTTTAAATTTTTTAGTATGACTATAACTGCTTAGAAGGCTGAAACTTACTTCTTACGTGAATTTCAACTCTCCACCAGTCATTTGTAAATATCATTATCATTATTTAAAATTGCCATTCCTTTCTTCTTCCACGAGATCTGCAATTTCTGGGGGAAACAACATATCAGTTTATTTCTGGTCATTATTAACATTAGCATCATCTCTTTCTTTGTCAAAAAATATTTGAAGGGCTTCTTCTAATGTAAGATACCTCGTTCTAGGCATTTTTGAACAACCAGAGCATGAACTAAAACATCGAAAGGAATGAGTGAAAAAGGAGATTGACTACTCATTTCCCGCAGCGCAACACCTGTTTTTTTCTTCCTTCCCAACACAAATATAAACATCTGACTGATGTAATGTTCTGGTAAAGGATGACCTTGACTAAAAATAGATCACTCATTAAGACGGTGATTCTTTCGTTAAATATTTTCAGAAAAAAATACCCGGTCGAAAATTTTGCTTAAAGTATGAGATTAATTAATATACACAAAATGATTGTTGAAGGCAAATATTTTTGTACAGAAATAATCTTCATAATATTCCCTACACAAAAATATCTTACGTAGTTATATTTATATATGCATTTATTTTGACCATTGCGTCAATGCAACACCAGCGGCTAATGGGTTAATCAATTTGAAATGATGTGCAGTATTTTGTCATCTAAAATTTTATATTTCTTTTTAAACATATTTTAATTCATTAGATAATTATTATATGGTTTTCAGTAGCTAATTTCACTCTGGCAACTCAACATTGCATAAATTTGTCATCCCCCTCAAAAAGTATCTTTTTATTATGTTTAGATCTTCTTTGTTTGAGATCTTTGAATCAAACAGGATTTCATTCTTAGAAGGGATGGTGTTTGTTATTCCTGTGACCTTGAGCATTCAATTTCTTTGTTCTAACAACCTTTACTTAAGATTCATGAAGGTGAGAATGCTCATTTCAGTGAGTTATGTTTCTTTCTATGTCAGAGTTGTTGAAACTGTTTTCCTGCCCATTTAAGTAAATGGTTTTTGAAGTAGGAATATCTTGTGTATTTGTCCTGCATTGGGTTAGGTTAGGTAATTTAATTACGGCAAAGCCTCGAGGGCTATCTGCCTAAGAGAAGGGATGCCTTCCTGGAGGACTTTCTAGGAAACTGGCTCGTATACCGTACCATGGGGGAAACACAAAACACCCATGCAGCCAGCCGTTCGCGGGTTCGACCCTCGGACCGAACTACCAGTGTTCAGCGACTTTACCGCTCGGCCGCTGGTGGGCCGTCCTGCATTGGGAAAATGATTTTGAAAAAATAGAAGGAAGAAAAATAATATCACAACAAAGATCATAGTAAAGGCATTAAAAAAGTTGTATAAAGGTGAAGTTATAAATAAAGTTACAGTGGATTTAAATATAGAACAGACTACACCATTGAAGGCTGGGAAAAAGAGACCAGAAGTTGAATGACAGCTTATGAAAGGTAAAGGATAAAGGTAAAAGTATGGGGAACACCAGCAATGTAGCATAGGTCAACTGGTAACGCCTTCCCAAACTAGCTCATAAAGACAGTTTGTGAAATGAGTTTCAGTGTGTTTGTGAAATGAGCTTCTGTAAAAGGAAGGGGAATACTTGAAAAATGCTAAAATCGGAAAAGGAGAAATGAGCCTAGAATTATGGTATAACAGGTAAGAGCACCAGGAATGCCAGACTTCATTTTGTCATAGAATCTATCAAATTTTAGGAGCAATTTCATGGAAAAGAGATTAAATTTATTGCTGTATGGTTTAATAGATAAAGAAATAGTATGGAATCGGTAAGGCAAATATTTATGTGTAGAAACCTTCTGCTGGAATAGAAAATATTTATACATTTAAAACTAATTTTTACAAATTCATCAAGAAAAAGGGTCTCTGTAGAGACCAAATTTATAATTTCAGTAAAACTGGCGTGAATTTTAGAAAGATGCATCAAGAAAGTTGCACATATAGGTAATCATCTCCAGGTTACCAAAGAGTTAAAAATACAATTCTAATTCTGGCACTGCTACGTACTCAGCAGAGCCACAAGCAATTTACAAACCAAAATTGTTGCTTTTCACTGACTCCAATAAGATTAATACATTAATACTGACTCCAATAATATTACATTTATTCACATTAAATCTTTAAAAAAAAAAAAAAATCACCTATTGATCATTGTTTTTTTATGGTGAGTTAATGTTGCCATTCTTTTAATCAGAAGCTTGATTATGATAAATTGATGGGTACAAACTATTAGTAACTATAAGGTGGTTTGAATCAGAAGGGCATTGAACCTTTTAACAAGGTTAGAGCAATCACCCTTTTTTGCATGCCATAGGTCAGCAAAAGCTTTCTCATTTTATTCACTCTGCATGAAGTGAGACTAGTTCCAGTGTATTCAAAAACACATTTTATCTTGTGCCTTCTCACTGTGAATCTGAAGTGACACTCATTAATGTGCCTATTTGTCATTGTAAATGCATATATAATCATCAACATTACACTATCAGTGGCAACAGTCAGGTGGATTGCCATATATTACATAGTATTAATACTCAGTTTATGCATGGTGTTTAAGGATTCCTTCTCACATGAAAAAATTATCTCTTTTACCAGGGGGTTGGAAAGAGCATTAATACTGTATATATTTATATATATGTTAGATGGTTAATTTTATTTCTCTTGTCATGTGGTTTTTATTGGTCCAAATGAATATAATATATACATTATGTAGTTAATTTTATTTCTTTTGTCATGTAGTTTTTATTGGTCAGTATGAATGTATTACTAACTAATTTTATTTCTCTTGTCAGGTAGTTTTTATTGGGCCATATGAGCATAACTCTAATTTTTTACCATGGAGAGAAATTGATGCAAAGGTATGTTGTGTTTTTGATTTTCATAATTTTAGTGATAATTTTCAGCTGTAATGAATAAAAAATTAGTTTTTTGAAGGTAACAAATTACTTATTTCTCAAAATATAACTAGTAAGACATCAGCCTAAAGCGTTTTGTGTGTTTTTGCGAAGTCATATTTATGTACTCTTATTCGGGGTTGCATGAATACTTTTGGTGTACAATATTTATGAAATAAGCATGAGAGGAGAATGTGAGTATTATTTTAGAGCAGGATTTCTTAAAGTGTGGGTCATGGGACATGCAGCAGGGGGGTCGTCAAAAACTTTAGCAACTTTGATTTTTCTTTAACTTATAATAATAATTTTACAATTACCAAATATTTTTACTCAATGTATCTGCAAATAGATAAAGATAAGGCAATACAGACAAAGAAAAAAATGGAAACTTTTCAACGCATTATTTTTATACTATAGACGTTCATTTGCTTTGCTTTGCATGTGACGCTGCCATTTCGTCTGTTACTTATTTAAAATTATCACATTTGTTCTGTGTCTTAAAATTAGAAATTAAAGTTAATGACCTAAAACTGCAATAGTATATTACAGTACAAGTGAAAAAATTGAGTTTCACTCAAGCATTTGTCAAATTTGCACAATACTTATGGGATCCCACAAAAATTTTCGAAATATGGGGTCCTGGGGGTCACGAAAAAATCTCAGTGATAAGAAAAGGTTGCGATTGAAAAATGTTTAAGAAACTCTGTTTTAGATGAAAATAGAAAGGTGTGCCTCTAAATGTTTTTAAGAAAAATTAGGAATAGAGTAAAATTAATGAAAATGCTTTTAAAAGCATTTATAAACGTCTTCTAAAAATAAAAATAATGATATTTGATGATAATGATATTTTCTAAAAATAATGATATTTGTACTTTTCTTGTCATGTTCTGCTGAATAAAATTGTTTTAAGATATTCAACTTAATATAAATGACATTAAAAAAATTTTTAAAAGACTAATGCTGATGGTGAACTTGCAAAGCATTTGCTTTAAAAGAAAACGTGAATGTATGGAAAACTAAAATATAGGAAATGAAATGTAACTTTAAAATGATATAAGATGTATAATTTTGACATTTCCTGTGTTAAAATCTGCCTGCAGAGTTCTACATTTTTATTATCTCAAATATGCGAAAATTCTGAAGTAAATAAACAAAACATGCCTGCAAAAAGTTATATGAATGCAACAGGAAAAATCTAGTTAAGTTATTTTTGTAAAAAGATTTATAATATAAAATACAAATTGCTAGGTTAAGTGCGCTAGTTTATATATATATAAATTTCAGTTTTACTGCTAACTGGTTGAATTTTATTCATTGAAATAAATTTTTTTTTTATATATCTGTTTATGTAGCCTTTACAGACAAAGAAGCATGTCTTCTTGTTGAATATATGGGACCAAAACATTGTTGAAATACAAACCCATGGTTTCTTTGGGTTGCAAATATATTTTGGCAGCTAAATAGTGAAAGTGATGAACTGTGCATTTTTTGTTAATTCATATGAAAATTAACTACCAATTAATAGTGTACATGGATATTAAAGATAATACTTTTCAACCAGAATCAGCCTTTATGTGCATGAATATTTTTATTCTTTGCTTTGTTCTTTTTGTTTCCATCATTACTGAATATACCTGACATTTTGTATATTATTGTACAAACCAAAAAATATGTCGAAAAATAAAATTAGCAAAAATTTATTACAGTGGGTAAAACTACATGCAGTGGAATATATATTTTAATGATCATGATTTGCTGCCAAAATTACTTGAGCCACATGATTGAAGATTTTAGTGTCATTCATTTTCAAAGAAAAGGCTTTCACTTGAGCTTTTATGTTGCATTCCGACTATGGTTTAAGTAGTTGAAAACTCATAATCATAAGTTCTGAGCATCATAGTAATAGTCTTATGGCCGAAAATTGAGTGGTGGAAATGATTTTTTGATTGATTATCCTATCTGAGGAAAAAGGTGTAGGGTCTATTTATGATGTTGTTATATTAAACGTGAAAATATTTGCAGCCTAAGTCAGAAACCAAACTTTTGCTAGGAAAACTAAAATATTTAAACATTGGTGTAAACATTTAAATTAAAGATAGAATGAAAAAATAAATAAATAACCACCTCTGCCTAATATTTCAAACAGAACTTTTCAAGGGATGAGTATTTACAACATTAAACAAGGACGATTAATGAGATCCGAACAACATGTTTCTTTCCTCTTGACACTGTAAGACTCGAAACTACTGAAATTAATTCCCTCTTTGAAAAATTATTCCTCAGATAGTCTCACATTGTCAAACAGCTACTCTTGCTTATTTTTCATCACACAGTTTGAGATTTAACTTCCAAAAACGTTATATAAACTTCCAGGTAGTCAAACTTAGAAGTAAAAAAGAGCTGACATGTCAGCTTGAACATTCAAATATTGTTACTTGGAAAAAGTGAAAATGAAAATTTAATCTTTAATGAGCTGTCAATTTTAAACTAAGTATTCGTAAGTGAATAGAATATTTGATTTTTTAAATTGCTGTAAAAGAACTTGCTATTGCAGTCCAGTAAACTTCTTGCAAAATGGCATAAATTTCTAATTTTAAATGCATGGGATAGGGTAGGTTGCCGGAATTTTTTGGTTTGAACACTTGGAAGCAGAGTTTCCAAAACTAGAAGCATCAACTATCATAGGGTGGAAACCAGTAAAAGGGTTTAATAAACAGAAAGGGAAGGTGTCCTTCCAAAGATGTTTATTTGGCATGTATTTGGCTGAAAAAAAAAGGGGGGGACTTTTGGAAGAAAAAAATGGTGACTTATTTTAAGCCCTAAATCTGTGATTTAAACTTAATTCTGGCATACAGGTAAGGAAATAATGAAAAATAACTAGCCAAAAAGAATAGTCTTCCTGTAAGCAAGCTGTAGTACGTCTTTTAAAAGAAAGTGGATCTTTTGTTAATGACAAGATAGAAGCCAGATTAGATTTCTAAAAATCTAAAATCTCAGAAACAGTAGACATATTTTAGGGGTAGAAACCAGATTAGTGTTCTAAAAAACTAAAATCTGAGAGGGTACGTGTGATAAATTATATATAAACATTAAATTGCTTGTAAAAGTCATCCTTCTTTACCTGTCCCTTGGTTGAGGGTAAAGTGACCATATCACTGTAAACATGTAATTTGAAAATTTTAAGTTAAGCCTGCATTTTTTTATGTTTGGGAAATTTTGAATTTGGGAGTTCTGTTTTCTATAAGGAGATACGTTATTAGTTGAATTTCTTCTGGAAAATAATTTCATTGCAAACATTTTTTTATTCTTAATAGTTGAGTGTGAATAGTATTAAATATTACTTTTTTTTTTTTTAGATGTTCGAGGACCAGTTAAATAGTTTGATGGTATCAAAATAAAATTTTCTTCTTTTATGATAAATTTTTACTTTTTTGTAGCCTAAAATATATAAATCTAAGGGTGAGAAGTTTGTCTTGTTAAGTTTTAGGAAAGGTGGATAGAATTTTTTTTGGGGGGTGGCATTGAAATTCTTTAGTAAAAAAGGTATAGGTTATAAATTGCCAAAAATGAATTAGAGCCCATAGGGATACCTTTTACCTGTTTATAAATGGTATTATTAATGTAAATTTTCGACATCATAGCAATTAATAATTTTAATTTTCGTATCTTTAATGGCAATGAAAATCGGTATGTGGTTATTGTTAATGCAGCTGTATTCGTGCTCTTGATTACCTGATTTTAATTATGTTGAGAATTCATTTAAGCTTTTCAGCAAATTTGAAGTCTGTCTATTTTTTGTGGTTCTCAGTGCCATTGGCTATGAATCTGAATTTGAACATTTGCAATATTTTTAAATTTAGGGAGTGCATACAGATTTGAAAATTTGTTGTCTGTTGAAACTGAAATTTTAATTCTGCTGTGTAATGCTGTTATTTTATTTTTTGAGGACAGTTAAACTAGGTTTGTTTTTTTAAAGTAATCATGTT